CTAGTATTTTGATTTTTTTTTTTTTTGCACCCTCAGATTCCAGATTTTCAAATAGTTGTATCTCGGTCATAAGTAAATTGACCCTTATGACTGGTTTTGTGGTCCAGGGTCACAAATGTAAATTTTCAAAGGCAGTTCAAATGTCATCTTTCCTCAAACACTCTCTCACACACACACACACACAAAACTTTTTCAAAATGTAATTTTAAGGTTTATGTGCAATTTTGTAACACCACTGTTTCCACAGCACACAAGAAGGTTTTAGGAACAGAGATTGTTTTGATATTATTATTTCTATTATATATTTAATTCCGCATATTGCCCAGGTAGGACACTAGCCAGGTCTTCCTTGACTTTTTCCTTTCGTAATGTGAATTCAAGCTGGTATTCATAAAAGCCCTGAGGGTCGACACAGTCTCAGCCAGAGTCTTCGCTAGTCTTTCTGCTGTGCTCCGGTAATCCTTAAAAGAGAAACGGAAACACTTAATGCAGGGTCAGTCCTCAGCTCCAGGAAAGAAGGCCTCTCTAAATCTGCCTGCGTCTCTACAGATGAAGAACGGACTCAGGAGTGGGATTGTTAGGGATTGTGCCAAAGCAGGAATGACTGTAGGTGATCAGACTGACTCATTATGAGCTTGTTATGGAGCAGGTCAACGCTGGGGCCGCTGGAGGAAATTGGTGAATGATCTCAACAGTCCTTTGTACCTTCTGGAAACACTCCATATGCTGTTATATAATTTTTTACAACATTTTAGAATATAGCTACATGTGACCAATAAATTCAAATAATAGTTTGATTGTTTTTAGAGGTCTAATCAAAAAATTTAATTTGTGTAAATTTATATAAAAACCTGCTCCATAATGTGAACTTATAAATATATATATACTATGGTGGCCGAGAGAGCTCAACGCGCTGCAACTTCAGAAAACACATGCAAATAGAAAAATCACCAGCAACATAAGAAAACATGCTTTCACAGTTACAGTAATTGTTTATTTTGTCAGCTTATTTAGGCTAATAATTAGAAGAAAAAAAAAAGAAGCAGCAGCAAAGAAATCATATGATCAGGGTGTTAAAATAAACAAAAATCTCACCTTTCAGAGCAAACATTGATAAATATGTCCCAGCCATGTTCGTCACTTTGCGGTTCCCTTAAACATTTCCGATGTGGTCTGTGCCTATTTGCAGCGCGTTTCTTTATTTGGTTGTGTTGTGAGCATTTTCAGCGTGTTTCTTTATTTGGTTGTGTTTTTTTCATTTGTGCTTAGGGTCATTGTCCTGTTGGAAGGTGAACCTTCTGCCCAGTCTGAGGTTCTGAATGCTCTGGACTGGGTTTTCATCAATGCTATCTCTATATTTTGGTGCATTGAGCTTTTATTTTACTCTGACGAGTCCCTCAGTCTCTTCCGCTGAAAAACATCCCCACAGCATGAGGCTGCTACCAGCACACTTTACTTTTGGGATGGTACTCTGCAGGTGATGAGCGGAGCTGGTTTCCTTCAAACATGATGCTTAGAATTGAGGTTCATCAGACCAGAAACTCTTGTTTCTCACAGTCTGAGGGTCCTTTAGGTGCTTTTTCACAAATTCGAAGTGTGTTTTCATGCATCTTCACTGAGGAGAGGATTGAGTTTAGCCACATATGATCATGGAGCTCAACTAGAGTGACCATCAGGTTCTTGGTCACCACAATAACCAAAGCCCTTCTCCATCAGTTGCTCAGTTTGGCCAGGAGGCCAGCTCTAGGAAGAGTCCTGGTTGTTCCAAACATCTTCCATTACGGGTAATGGAGGCTACATGCTTCTGTGAACCTTCAATGCAGCAGAATTGATTTGAACTCTTCCCCAGATGTGTGGTTTGATTCAATCCTGTCTCTGAGCTCTACAGGCAGTTTTTTTTTTTTTGGTGGCCTCAGGGCTTGGTCTTTGCTCTAATATGCATTTTCAGCTGTTAGACCTTTTATTAAGACGTGTGCCTTTCCAAATCATACCCATTAAATTGAATTTGCCACAGGTTAACTTCACTAGTTCAAAGTGTGGTAACATTTACAAGCAAAATTAATGCTCCTGAGCTCAATTTCAACTGTCCCAGATAAGGGTATAAATACTTATGCAATGGAATAATTTACGTTTTTTTATCTTTAATAAATTTGCAAAGATGATAAAAACCTGTTATTTGCTTTGGCATAATGGAGTATGGAGTATAGATTGATGTGGGGGGAAAAAAGTAATTTAAAGCAGTTTAACATAAGGCTGCAACATAACAAAACATGAAAAAAATGAAGGGGTTTTGAATACTTTCGCAAGGCACTGTATATATCTATATATATATATATATATATTTAGTATAGTTCACAAATAATTTGACAACATTTACATATTTCCAAGTAGAACAGGATTGCAAAGACATTCAAAATAAAACATTGTATGTGTATTAAGAAGAAAAAGTAAATGGATTACATTTAGATTTCATGTTGACTTTTAAGTGTTTTAGTGTGTAAAAGCTGCGACCATCATACAGCCATCTACATTCATTCAGATTTTAAAAAATCACATTGAGCAAATGTTGACGGAATTCAAAAGGTTCACTCATATAAAAATAGTGACGTTTGGGCCAGGTCACAGTTTTTCGTATTGTGAAACATCCACAAGCATGGTTATTCTATTCCCAAGTATGCAGTGGCCAAAATATACATTGGTGCGATCAAACATAAATATGCTCGGCAGGCAGTTAATCTGTCAACTTCTTAGTGTTATTCATTCTCGGGTTAGTCTGTAGTCAGTAATGTAGTAACGTCTCTGCTGTGACCACGGCCCATAAATTTTCACAGTTTAGAGCTGGCTGTTAATATAGAGCTGTGTAGCAGTAGAGTTGGTAATGGTTTCCATAAGCCAGTGCTGGAATTCAGTAAATCAAAGCCAAGGTAACAGCTAACAGCTAGAGCCCCATATTGTCTCTCCTGTTGAGGTTTCACTCACGAGGATTGTCTCCAAACCATCTCCAGTTTCATAGCCGACTTCACCATAGATGTAAAGAATGACAGCATAATTAGCATGTTGTGTTCAGAAACACTGTTTTGCTTTGAGCGAAGGTGGTTGCTTTGCTTCCAGAAAAACATGAGGTAATTGTTCAACTTCATCGATGTAACCATTTTGACAGCACTGGAGGTCATAAGCAGAACATTCAAGTGTAATAAATCTTGATCACCAGAGGGTTTTTGCTGCCCCTGACGGACGTGGCACAGCCAAGTTGGACGTTTCATTCTTAGCGAGGGACCAGTGGCCAAAATCTACAGAAAATCCAAGCCTTGCCAGGGAGCAAAAGAGGGTACCTGGTCCGCAACCTCACCAATGAACATTATAAGAAGAAGACTACAAACCTGGTCAAAACCCAGTGGAACAGAAACTCTGTGCTCAGATTTCCTACGGAAAAAGGCATGTTTTCTACTGCCGACATGAAAGCAAACATACTGAAGGGTTATGCAAACATCTCAGTCATATTGAGCTTGTTCGAAATTATGAACGTACCTAGATGGTCGATGTGTGAAATGCGGCACGCTGTGTTGTCACTTCGCCTTAATGAAAGGGAAACAGGAGTTTGTTTGGTTTAGAAACCTGACAACCCTCATCCTTCCAAGATTTGTTGACTTTCCATGAATCATACTCGGTTTTTCCTCACACACCTTTATAGTCAGTTTGAAGTCTTGATGTATGTGTGCATGTTTTATGAGCTCACAGAGTGCTATATATGTTAAGAAAGTTCTGGAGGGTTTTTTTTGACACGCAAGCTACATTTATAAATGATGTTAAAATGAGAAACCTAGGGGTAATTCTAAAACCGCTGTTAAGGTGCCAATGAAAATGTATGTTTGATGGTTGCAATGAGCGTGAGCCTGACATGAACAAAAGAGCTATGTGTAGAGTGACCATACTTGAGGGGCTCAGTGAAGGGTATGAGCCATAGTAATTAAGCTGTTAGCCCAGCAATGAGCTGTTTTCCTTTGTCCGAACTGGAACCTCTCCTGCAGGAGTGTTAAACTGTGTACATTCTCAGATCAAACCACCCCGCCGACAGCTTCAAAGAGCTGACAGGCCTGAAAATGCCAGTCATGTGGTGAACGGATGAGCAGGGGCTGTAACTAGAGCAGAAGGGCCACAGATTTCCAGCCATGTTTTTCACTCTTCACCACACGTGACTTCAGATGTTTGCCTTAAATTTTGAACATATCTTCTCAGATTAGAAGGTTCGGTATTTCACAATAAATGCTGAGTTGTGAGTGAAGATCTTAGTGAATTGCATCAAATGCACAAACCAAGAATCCTTTTGGCTTTTCAAATTTTTCAAAAATCATCCTCTTTTGTTTCCTCAGATATGATGTAACATCTTCTGCTTTTGTAATTGTTCATTTAAAAGGCTTTTATTTCCTATCAGTTACTGTATGTAAATCTTTGTGAATTTGAGTCACTTTTAGGCCTAAAACATACTCTTTGAATTTTAACATGAATTCTGCAAGTTGCTGTGTCTTGAAATGTCTTGTATAAACAAGCTATAAAGCTAGTAAACGATGAATAAGAACACGTCCGGATTATTGACAGAGACATCTTAAGGACACTCTATCACCCCCTTGAGTCCTGAGGTTTGTTACCAACCTTGTAATGCAAGAGCACAGTATATCTAGGCTGCATGCTTGCAGTGCAATAGCAACATCTACTGTTGTGCACTTGATTAAACTATGTTTCTGGCCTAATTCTGACACTCTCAATCCCTTATTTAAAAGCTATCAGCTACAGTATCATGTTTGCTTACTAGTCAGCTGATCAAGAGACAGTTGTTCATTTTGGTTTAGGTGGTGAAGGATTGCAGTGATTTGGCCGAAGAATTATAGTAATGCTATTGAACACAAATATGTGTGTTGAGTTGATTCTCATATTTATCGGAGGAGCATGTGGTTGTTTTGATATGTAAATACTCCATTCTCCCTCTATCTTTCTGTCTCTAGATGACTCCAGTGCTGGGAGGGAAGGTTCCAGACCAGCTGGTGAAACCGAGTACTCCACTGACCTGACGGGAAAACTGGGTAAGGTGCTACAGTCCTCTGATCCCCTTTGATCTCCTTCATTCCTGGTATTTATAATTGCTGCCCAGAAAGTCACTGAAATATGTGCTGCAGCTGCCAAGATGTTTCATAAGCTGCTTTTCATGAAATGCAACTTTTAGTTTTACATTGTATTAGAATTTAAAGAACATTAAAAAACTAGAATTTAAGATATTAAATGTAGCATAGCGGCGCTGCCGTTTTGTTGTAGTACAGTAGCGATGGCATTTGTTGTAGCAAAGCAATGCTGCAATTTTGTTGTAGTACAGTAGCGATGGCATTTGCTGCAGCAAAGCAATGCTGCAATTTTGTTGTACTGCAATTTTGTTGTAGTACAGTAGCGATGGCATTTGCTGTAGCAAAGCAATGCTGCAATTTTGTTGTAGTACAGTAGCGATGGCATTTGCTGTAGCAAAGCAATGCTGCAATTTTGTTGTAGTATAGTAGCGGTGGCATTTGTTGTAGCATAGCAATGTTGCTGTTTTGTTGAGGTGTAGTTGCGGTGATATTAGTTGTAGCTTTACAGCTATGCATGGCATGGCAGCACTGTTGTTTTGTTGTAGTACAGTAGTGGTGAAATTTCTTTGTAGCATATTGGTGCTGCCATTTTGTTATAGTATAGTAGTGTTGATTTGTTATAGCATAACAACACCGCCATTTTGCTGTAGCATAGTGGTGCTTCTGTTTTGTAGTATAGTAGTGGTGAAATTTGTTGCAGCATAACAGCTAAATTATATCACTATAGATGCAGTGATATTTATTGTAGCATAGCAGTGCAACTGTTTTGTTGTAGTATAGTAGTGGTGACAATTGTTGTAGCATAGCAGTGCAGCCATTTTGTCGTGGTATAGCAGCGGTGACATTTGTTGTAGCATAGCAGTACTGCTTTTTTGTTTGTAATATAGTAGCGATGACATCAATTGAAGCATAGTAGCGCTGCTGTTTTTTGTAGTATAGTAACGATTCAATTTTGTTGTAGTACAGTAGTGATGACATCAGTTGTAGCATAGCATCGCTGCTGTTTTGTTGTAGTGTAGTAACAGTGACATTTTGTTGTATTACAGTAGCAATGACATCGAATTGTAGCATAGCAGTGCTGTTGTTTTGTTGTAGTACAGAATTGGTGACAAAATTGTTGAATCGATGCCGTTTTGTTGTAGTATAGTAGTGTTAATACTAGTTTTAGCATAACAACTCTGCCATTTTGTTGTAGTATAGTTGTGATGGATTTTTTTGTAGCATAACAGTGCTGACATTTTGTTGTAGTACAGTAGCGGTGACATTTGTTGTATAATAGTGGTGCTTAGGCCTGTCGCAATAATCAATATATCAACTTATCGTGCAATATATGCAGGGCTGTACAGTGCGACATATATGTTGCACGTGCTACGAAAAAACTGGTCTGTGCGATGAATACATTTACCACTGTAGCACGCGTGCGATACAGTTTTGCATGTTCATAACACAGCCGCTTAATAGTGTGAAGTGAGTTCGTTTTGCTTGTTTGTGTGTGTGAGATTGATTATACTTGGTAGTTAGGGGTGTGCGATATGACGATTTTTGATCATGGACGATTAAAATGTCTCCACGATCTTCTTTTGAAGAAATATTGTTGTTTCGTGCTACAGCGCACATTCTATCAGCTGCCGTTCTGGCGCCTCCCTCAGTCTCAGTATAATCTACAACGCCACATGCATTCACATCAGTTTGTTGTAGTACAGTAGCGATGGCATTTGCTGTAGCAAAGCAATGCTGCAATTTTGTTGTAGTACAGTAGCGATGGCATTTGCTGTAGCAAAGCAATGCTGCAATTTTGTTGTAGTATAGTAGCGGTGGCATTTGTTGTAGCATAGCAATGTTGCTGTTTTGTTGAGGTGTAGTTGCGGTGATATTAGTTGTAGCTTTACAGCTATGCATGGCATGGCAGCACTGTTGTTTTGTTGTAGTACAGTAGTGGTGAAATTTCTTTGTAGCATATTGGTGCTGCCATTTTGTTATAGTATAGTAGTGTTGATTTGTTATAGCATAACAACACCGCCATTTTGCTGTAGCATAGTGGTGCTTCTGTTTTGTAGTATAGTAGTGGTGAAATTTGTTGCAGCATAACAGCTAAATTATATCACTATAGATGCAGTGATATTTATTGTAGCATAGCAGTGCAACTGTTTTGTTGTAGTATAGTAGTGGTGACAATTGTTGTAGCATAGCAGTGCAGCCATTTTGTCGTGGTATAGCAGCGGTGACATTTGTTGTAGCATAGCAGTACTGCTTTTTTGTTTGTAATATAGTAGCGATGACATCAATTGAAGCATAGTAGCGCTGCTGTTTTTTGTAGTATAGTAACGATTCAATTTTGTTGTAGTACAGTAGTGATGACATCAGTTGTAGCATAGCATCGCTGCTGTTTTGTTGTAGTGTAGTAACAGTGACATTTTGTTGTATTACAGTAGCAATGACATCGAATTGTAGCATAGCAGTGCTGTTGTTTTGTTGTAGTACAGAATTGGTGACAAAATTGTTGAATCGATGCCGTTTTGTTGTAGTATAGTAGTGTTAATACTAGTTTTAGCATAACAACTCTGCCATTTTGTTGTAGTATAGTTGTGATGGATTTTTTTGTAGCATAACAGTGCTGACATTTTGTTGTAGTACAGTAGCGGTGACATTTGTTGTATAATAGTGGTGCTTAGGCCTGTCGCAATAATCAATATATCAACTTATCGTGCAATATATGCAGGGCTGTACAGTGCGACATATATGTTGCACGTGCTACGAAAAAACTGGTCTGTGCGATGAATACATTTACCACTGTAGCACGCGTGCGATACAGTTTTGCATGTTCATAACACAGCCGCTTAATAGTGTGAAGTGAGTTCGTTTTGCTTGTTTGTGTGTGTGAGATTGATTATACTTGGTAGTTAGGGGTGTGCGATATGACGATTTTTGATCATGGACGATTAAAATGTCTCCACGATCTTCTTTTGAAGAAATATTGTTGTTTCGTGCTACAGCGCACATTCTATCAGCTGCCGTTCTGGCGCCTCCCTCAGTCTCAGTATAATCTACAACGCCACATGCATTCACATCAGTGTTAGCTCAGCGGTAGAGTTACTCTCATGGGACACTGCACTTATGCGCAATCACAAAATTACATTATTTCATCAGCTTTAAAGCAATACCGGTTAAACATTTAATTCACGTGTTGTTCTGCATGCGCTTTTTCTGCGTACTCATGAAGCGCCAGTCTATTGCCTGTCAAAAAGCGCCTGATTATTGAGAAGGGTATAACTGCAGCCTGGAGATCTCCAAATGGGGGCGGGAACTCCAAAACGGGGTGGGAGCTCCAAAATAGGGCGTGGCTTCCTCCCATTGACAGACAGGAACATGACACGCATGCGCAATTTTTTCTCCCAATCCACTTCAGTGCAAACTCCGCCCCACAGCTGATTCTAAAGATTTTATTGGTTGTGTCAATCACAGTGTTGATTTCCTACACTATGCTACAATAAATGCTAACCCCTAAACCTACCCCACACCTGACCCTAACCTTAACCAGTGAAATTGACTGCACGGCGGGATTGGCACTGAATAGCGTGGTAAAGAAAGTTGCAGTTCAGGAGATAAACAGTTGATAAGATTATACGATATGAGATCGTTCTGTAACTCCCCAACAGGACCTCACCGGACAATGGCACCTTTTTAGTTACACCCAGCGTCACTACCCCCTCCTACCCTGCAAATTTCGAGCCCCGGGGACACCCCCGTTGCTTAAAACAAAGCGATAGAGTGAAAAATCTTTCCCCTGCGCTGCGCTGAGACGGCTCACGGGAGAGCTCGTGGGTGATTCCCATTTATTAAGCAGAGGTTCAAACTCCGGTCCGAACAACACTGGCCACGAGCTTTGGGCTCAACTCTCACGGAGAATATTTATTTGTATAGCATATTTTATTTTAGATCAGTTAGAAAGATGTTTAATTTATAAAGTTTTATTTTGAAATGTAAGTCAATAACAATTGGCTGGAGCCAGAGCCAATGGTGAAAGTCTTTGCGCAAAGAGACCCCGCCCCATTTTGGAGGTTCTGCCCACTTTTGGAGTTCACGCCCCATTTTGGAGATCTCCGGTCTGCAGTTATATCTACTTGGGATTATTGGACTAAATTGTCTTTCGCGTCTGATTGATTTTGCGTCTAATACTGTCAAAAACACACAAGGTTTACACATAAACACAGTTGGTTATGTCTAAAATGAAAGTAAACCGTTAAGAGAGAAACGCGTGAAGCTCTTAAAGGGACAGTAGCTACTAAACATGCTGCCGACTGTCATTAAAGGGCTAGTTCACCCAAAAAATTTAATTTCTGTCATTATTTACTCACTCACATTTTGTCCCAAACCTGTATTAATTTATTTCTTGTGCTGAACACAAAAGAAGATATTTTGAAGAATGTCGCCTGTGTCTTTTGCAGCTTCTCGTACATAACGGGTAGTCATGTGGTGCTAGTTCAAATAAAACAAAAAAAAGTTTCATCTGCAGATATGGTCTTGTTTAGGGATCTGTGCCTTTGTGCATACAGAGATCTGACCTCTAAGTAGTGATTGTGTTTTTCAGCAATAGTGTGCACCCTTAATTTACAGAGAAAAGAAGGTCAGAGAAAAATCTGTAGATGGAAAAATCTCTATACAAGTTCCTTGTGCATTTTTCTTTTTTTCTACTTGTTACTTTGCACTTTTTGTTAGAAAATGTTTATTTACTATTTATTCAGGTTTTTAAGGTATCTCATATTTTGATACGTAATTCCATGATATTAATAGAATCCATGATCTAAATATTCTTAAAAATTAAAAGTTTGTTGTCATTTGAAAGTGTGTAGGCCTTCTTGCATTATTATGCTGTTACATTATGATTATATATTCAGTGGCATAAAATGGTCTTTAAAATTGCAATAATATCGCTTATCTCAATTATTTCTGGGGCAATATATCGCACAACAAAAAGTTGTTATCGTGACAGGCCTAGTGGTGTTTTTTTATTTGTAGTATAGTAGTGGTGAAATTACTTGCAGCATAGTAGCGTTGCTGTTTTGTTGTAGTATAGTTGTGGTGACATTTGTTGTAGCATCGCAGTGATGACATTTTGTTGTACATTAGATGCTGATTAGACAGAATGATTATTGCACAGGTGAGGCAAATGGTGGTCACAACAGATACTGACTGGTTTTCAGACTTTTCGTACAGTAAAACTGCACATTTTAGAGTGGCCTTTTATTGTGGCCAGCCTAAGGCACACCTGTGCAATAATCATGCTGTCTAATCAGCATCTTGATATGCCACACCTGTGAGGTGGATGGATTATCTCGGCAAAGGAGAAGTGCTCACTAACACAGATTTAGACAGATTTGTGAACAAACTACGCCTTTTGTGTACATAGAAAAAGTCTTAGATCTTTGAGTTCAGCTCATGAAAAATGGGGGCAAACACAAAAAAAAAGCATTTATAATTTTGTTCAGTGTAGTACTCAAAGCGCCACGGTCTTACAAAATATGACAGCTTGGTGTATGCTGGATGAGTGTTGGTGATCTACATTTGATGTGTGGCCTAATAGAAAAGCATGTGGCCAGTGGAAACTGAGCCTGTCACAGAGGGTTTGGACAGCACGTCTCCAGGCCGGCACACATGTGGCTGAATCTTCCCAGATACTGACAGGTAGCCCTGTGGTCTGGGATTGGACGGTCCCCACAATATTTCCTGTTGCTCATTACTCCCTGGAGTTGCACACTCCTACCTCTGGAGCCCAGTGTTTGCTTTTGTAATTGCGTTTGACAAGCCAAAGTGCAGGCTATTTATGTGAAGTGTGAGGGGGGGAAGCTTTCCATTCCCCTCCAACAGCTGCCCTCTGATTTGATATCGGAGCACCGCTAAACTCGGCGGTGTTCAAAGAGGGCCTGACCTGCTTGTTTTTGTACTGTGTTGCATAGCAGTTATGATGACTGCTAGTGGGAGTTGCTTAGTTCACTATTGTATTTGCTTTTATGGTGTTTGTTCAGAGTCTGCTGTGAGCGGTAACAGTCAGCATGAAACTACAGAGGAGCTGCTGTTTGCTTTGTCTGATTGCATTCATGGTGTGGTGCTTTGCTCAGTAAATTTGCCCACACAAGAACTTCATGTCCGCTCTTTTATGCTTTATTTTCTTTGTAATGTTAGTGGTGTTGTGTAAATTCTGATGATGAATCAGTCTTCCGTCTTTCTCCTTTTATTTAGTAAAGCTCTTAAAAGCAGCAAGCATGATCATGTTATTTTAAATTTAGTTTCAGTCTTCAAAATTAAATCTAAATTGGACAAATGTCATAGAACTGTTATTTCACTACTAAACTAATATGAATTAACCTTTCTCCCCAAAATCTAAATAAAATGTAAATGGGGAAAAGTTAAGAACATTTTTAAGAACATTCAAGTATATCATGGTTTCCATGTTTTTTTGTTTTTTTTGACATGACACAATTCTCATTGCCCCAAATTCTCATCATTGAGATGTCAAGTCACCTTCATTTCTGTAGTGTAAATTATTTTTTGACACAGACTTGCACATTCACATCTAAATGCCTTATTATAGAAGGCTGTAAACCTGTTCCAATCAGGTTTTAAGTTACTGTACTTCAAAAAGCAAAGGTGCTGTCTATCCTTTTCTTTCCTTTTGTCTTTCTTTGTAGTGCGGCCCCGCTTCACACAGCCGGCCAAAATGAGAAAGCGTGTGATCGCCCGGCCAGTGGGGAGCTCAGTAAGGCTCAAGTGCACCGCCAGCGGCAACCCCAGACCTGACATCGTCTGGCTGAAAGACAGCAGGCCTCTGACGCCCGAGGAGGTGGGCGAAGGCCGAAAGAAGAAGTGGACTCTCAGTCTGAAGAATCTTACACCTGAACACAGCGGCAAATACACGTGTCATGTATCCAACCGTGCCGGGGAGATCAACGCCACCTATAAAGTGGAAGTCATCCGTGAGTCATCTACCTCGTCTCTTTGATGTTGTCCTGGAATGTGATGGAGCTTTTGATGATTCACTTATATAGGGTAGACTGAAAGAATGAACATGCAGCAACAGTTTAACATTATTTCTTTCGTTGCTGGATGCTGTTCAAGGGGGATTAACAGCTGTCTGGCATGCTGTCAGAGTTTAGGACCCAATCATTCCTAACAAACAGCGTTAGCGTTGTTTATTAGCAGCACTAACACACTGCAGCTCCAGCCAAACTGTCTCAATCAGTTATTGACTTAATATTATGTATGCATGATAAGGAATTGATCATTTAATTCTATATTGTTCTTACAATTTTGATATATATGTGTGTGTGTGTATATATATATATATATACACACACATATTATACAGTTTAATAGCAGCCAATTTATTTTAAGCAAATTATTTTGCTGCTCACGGTTTTTATTGCTGCTTCAAATTAATTCGCTGCATTTGCTAACTTTACAACCACATCCTAACAGGGAGAAGTTCATTAATCTTGCTCTCAGTAGAGTCATATGTGACATTTTTTTCCTTACTCAAAATAGCCTAAAACTATTTTAGGACACAAAATAGAAAAACAATCTGTGCATTATAGACCCGTAATTGTGTTAAATACTGATTAGTAAATAAAATTGTCCTTATTTCATTACAGAGCGCACAAATTCCAAGCCCATCTTGACAGGAACTCATCCAGTAAACACTACAGTAGACTATGGTGGCACCACATCTTTCCAGTGTAAAGTACGCAGTGATGTCAAGCCGGTTATCCAGTGGCTAAAGAGGGTCGAACCAGGTGGTGAGAACAAATACAACTCCACCATTGAGGTCGGAGACCATCGCTTCGTTGTGTTGCCCACGGGTGACGTGTGGTCACGACCAGACGGCTCCTATTTGAACAAGCTACTTATCACTCGAGCCAAGGAGGAGGATGCTGGCATGTACATCTGCCTAGGGGCCAATACCATGGGCTACAGCTTCCGCAGTGCCTTCCTTACTGTTCTTCCTGGTCAGTATTATTCTCTGTGATGTATTGTAGTAGCATTTAATGTTTCCTTGAAGTAAGATTTTTTAGTTTTTTTTTTGTTTTTAGTTTGAAAGAAATCTCAAAGCCAAGGCTGCATTTATGTTTTCTGAAATATAGAAATATTGTGAAATAGTATTAGAATTTAAGATAACTGCTTTCTATTTGAATATAGTTTAAAGTATAATTTATTCCTGTGATGCAAAGCTGAATTTTCACAGCCATTACTCCAGTCTTCAAGTGTCACATGATCCTTTCAGAAATCATTCTAATATACTGATTTGGTGCTCAGGGAGCATGTATTATTATTACACTTTTGAACAGTTGTGTAAATATATACTGTATATAAAGGTAAGAAAGATTTATGTTAGGGATAGAAAAAAGAACAGATAAATTAGTGCCTATAATTACTGCTTTAATGGAGGTGTTACTATCAGTATCGTATTGACGATACTGGCCTTGATTTTGTTAGGTTAAAAGACAATAAATATTGTATTTTATTTTATATTAGCAATAATATAGTACACTCTAAAAAATGCAAAACCTAGAGAACGGAAAGACAATTGAGCCACGTTGTTGCAGTCTAACCAGTCCCTCGCTCTGAATACCGCAAGCATAAAGACATTATGAGCAGTGGGGTGGAAAAGGGCAAGGCTAGCGAACAAATGACGATATTTGAGTCTGTTTTGAAATGGAGAAATGTTTCACAGAAACACTGCCGGCAGAGCAAACACTTTTGCAGATTTGTATGGGACAAAAGACGCAAATGTATTGTCTCTTCAATCTGTAATTCAGCCACGAACTGATGCTACGGTATTTTAATACGATTTTTTCAGAAGCCCATTGACTAATCTTGTGGATGGGGCCAAAAGGACTTTTTGGATTAGCACCAAATCTCAGTGAATCGTTCGTTTGCATGCATAAGAAAATTGTTTGCAGATATTGAGAGATCCAGTTACAGTTTATGTCCTGTAACAGTTTATATCTTTTAAGACCGATTGAATGCATGAGAGCGTATGTTCGTGTTGTTTTTGCAGGTATGGTGTACCATGTTTCAACTTTAAGAAATGGTATAGGTTCAGTCTAGTTTTCTAACTGTATCTTTAATGGAAAAAGAGAATAACCTTGAGCTTTGGTTATATCGTAACTAAAGATATGATGAGATTTTGGCTTTGTACGTACTGGCGAGGGTTCGTTAACTTTGTGCTTTTATTTTCTGAATAACCTGAGGTACTGCAAACCCATAGTTCCTCTATGGCCTTGTTTTATGTGAAAGGGGAGTTGTATTTTCATAAGCTTGACCACTATAATGAAGACTGTGTAAAATGCCTTTGACTGCTCATGTAATGGCTCCCCTTTAATATTTACAGAAGTGAGTCAGAGTTTCAAAAACAAACGTTAGACTGAAACTCATTGTCCGTGCATGTGTTTACCGTGATGTTCATGGTAAAAGGTCGATGCTGAAAGGACTGCGGGAATACAGGAATGCACTTATCCCAGACATCTGCTAGCTACTTCAGCATAACATTCTTTGAAATTCATTGCCCCTGTTAATTTAAGAAAGCCAGCCAAACCTTGTAAAACTTTAGTGATTCTAAAATAGGTAATTTATTTGTAAGCAATGTTTTGATGCTTTGAATTGGGCATTATCTAGATGTTTTAAACCAAATATGAGTATGCATAGCAGTGTCTTAGCTGCAGTGTAAGCTATGTAGCATATATCATGTGTTAAATATTTATGTGCTGTTGAAAAAATAACACAACGGTCCTAATTAGTTATCTCTGTATGGACAATCTTGTACAGTCTGGCCTGTTTTTATGTTTAAAAAATATATGTTTGTCACATTGAAACATTAAAATCATTTTATAATTATCGTAAAATGATAAAGCTCTTGTTCACCAGGTATGAAAATGTGTTGAGTGTGTCATTTTCTTTGAAAGTCTTCAAAATATCTGCTGTTACAAATTTAACAACTTGTATCTTTATTTGGAATACCATTAAATTTGTCCAATTTTATACGTACTGCCTGAAGTAACAAAATATTATTAGAACCTTAAAAATAACAAATTTCCAATCTATGCCAATTTTCCTAACAACTATATTAAATCACACTGACCCCAACAGCCACAACATTAAAACCACCAGCCTAATATTGTGTAGGTGCTGCCTGTGTTGAGGGAATGACTCCACATGACCTCTGAACATGTCCTGTGCTTTCTGTGGAGATTAGCAGCAGATCCTTAAAAGGATCTTACTTCAGTCGAAAAGAAATTAAGGTTTTTGAGGAAAATTTTCCAGGATTTTTCTCTATATAGTGAACTTCAATGGGATCCAATGGGTTGAAGGTCCAAACTGCAGTTTCAATGCATCTTCAAAGGGCTCTACATAATCCCAGCCAAGGAATAAGGGTCTTATCTAGCAAACGATCGGTCATTTTCTAAAAAATACAAATGTATATACTCGACTTCACGCATTACGTAGTCAAGTTGGAAAGTTTGCACTTAACGTAGGCTGAAGTACCAAGCCAGTGTTTTCAAATGTGAACGTGCAAAGAAAGTCAAATGCCCTTTACAAAAACAGGTAAAACAACGACGTCGGATGATTTTGAAGATGAGTTTTTCACCCTACCCAACCTTTTTGAACTGAAGAACACAGACAAAGAGCTAACCATGTGTGACGTTTCCAACGTGATTACGTAATGCGTGAAATCGAGTTAGTGCAAGATGAGCATTTGTGGTTAAAAAATATAAATTTTTTTTTTTTTTTGTAAATGAACAATTGTTTCGCTAGATAAGACCATTGTTCCTCGGCTGGGATCGTGTAAAGCCCTTTGAAGCTGCAGTGAAGCTGCAGTTTTGACATTCAACTCTTCAAGTCCACTATATGGAGAAAAATCTTGGAATGTTTCCCTCAAAAACCTTGATTTCTTTTCGACTGAAGAAAGAAAGACATGAACATCTTGGATGACATGGGGTTGAGTAAATTATCAGGAAATGTTCCTTCTGGAAATGAACTAATCCTTTAAGTCTTGCAAGTTGCAAGGTGGGTTCTTCATAGATTGAATTTGTTTGTCCAGCACATCCCATAGATGCTCAGTCGGAGTGAGATCTGGGGAATTTGGAGGCCAAGGCAACACCTCAAACTGTTCCTGAACAAGTCATGGCAATGTGACAAACAAGACCATCTTCATCCCCACTGCAGGGAACATCAGGAAACACCGTTGGCATTAAGGGATGTACATGATCTGTAAAAACCTTTAGGTGGTATGAGTCAAAGCCGCTTCTAGATGAATTACTGGACCCAGGTATTCCTAGCAGAACATTGCCCAGAGCGTAACACGGCCTTTGCCATTTTTCCACAGGTAAACACACACCCAGCCATCTGCCTGATCTAAAAAAAAAATATTCATCCGACCAAGCAACCTTCTTTCGTTGCTCCACAGTTATGACTCTCACGTCCATTGTAGACACTTTCGGTGGTGGATGGGTCATCATGGGCACTCTGACTGGTCTGCGACTATGCGGCAAACTGTGATGCACTGTGTGTTCTGACACCTTTTTATCATGGCCAGAGTTCAGTATTTCAGCCATTTGAGCTACAGTAGCTCTTCTGTGTGACTGGGACAGACGGGCTAGCCTTCGCTAGGCATGGGTGCCCATGACCCTGACTCCAGCTGTCCTTCCTCGATCCTGATATCATCCACTACACACCAGGAACACCCGAAAACACTTGCCATTTTGCAGATGCTCTGACAGATGATCGAGTCATCTGTCCATCACCATTTGGCCCTGTAATTTCTACCCTTGACAGTTATACCTAAACTTACTGCATAGAAATACATTGTTAAAATGTATTATTATAACATTTTACACAATACTACACACACACACAATTAAATGCATTGTACACTTCAATAATGTAATTATGTACACTATACTGTTCCAAAGTTTGAGGGCTCACCACAACTGCATTTATTTTATCACAAATAAAAAAAACAGTATTATTGTGAAATATTATTACTATTTATAACTTTTTATATTTTAATAGGCCTATATTTTAAAATGTAATTTATTCTTGTTATGGCAAAGCTGAATTTTCAGCATCATTTCTCCAGTCTTCATTGCCACATGACCAATCTGATATTCTAATATATATCTGATGTTCTGATATGCTGATTTAATGCTTAATAAACATTTCTTATTATTATCAATGTTGAAAAACCTTAATTTTTTTTTTAACAACTTTTTTTTTTTAACAACTTTTAATTTCAGTGTAACGTCATAAATGTCTTGCTGTCACTTTTGATCAATTACATGTGTCCTTGCTGATTAAAGTAGCCCATTAATTTCTTTCAAAAAAATAAAAAATGACCCTAAACTTTTGAACGGTAGTGTATAGGTGAGTAGCCTATAGCTCTAAATAATGTTGACATTTAATTGAAAATGCTTTGTCAACATTATGGTCATTAGCTGTTTATTATTTTATTTTATTTATTTTACTTTTTTTTATGTCACGATTATTGAAATTAATATGCTGATCAATGAACTCTCTGTGTGTTTAAATTATGTAATTATACACCTCAAAACGTTTTGTGCACAACATTTTAATGAATAATTTAGTGTTCTTTTATTTGCAGTTGAATTCATCTAAGGCTCTGACTGCAAGTCAGTATACTGTAGTTTACTGTAAAATCAGGAGAATAATGTAAACTAAAGATTACTAAAAAGATATTTGTCATTGTGTTTTCTGACTTGTTATTTTGTTTTCTAATTTGTCATTGTGTTTTCTGACTCATAATGTTTTCTGAATTGTTGTTGTGCTTTCTGAATTGTTATTTTGTTTTTTAGACTTGCATTTGTGTTTGTAATTTGTTATTTTGTTTTCAGAATTGTGATTTGCTTTGCACTTCTCTGCCACCATAGTTTCATGTGTTTTTGCACAAGAAAGTTTGGGAGATCTGTTAGTGTTTCATGTTCTGTTGTGTTGGGATTTAATAGGGTTTCT